AAAAAGAAAACGTAACTTCTGACAAGACAATCTGAAGGATTTTGAGTGACATCACCATGACATCACATTGGCAGGAAAGAAGTTGAAATGTGGCACCTGTCACTCACCTGTCACTGGTAACTGGTGAAGAAGAGATTCAACGGAATCAGCTGACCTCAAATTGCCTGTAAACCTGTCCTGACGACAGACACACTAACATCATCTTAATCCTCGCCATGACATGATAACGGACAGGGGGATATGGAGATAAGCAAAGCATCAGGCTGCATAATGTGTATATGTTCTGAACTACAAAAGAAACCTAAAAGGTTTTACTGACTGAGTCTAGTTTTACGCCGCTTTTTAGCAATATTCCAGCAATATCACGGCGGGGACACCAGAAAATGTACACATTGTACCCATGTGGGGAATCGAACCCGGGTCTCCGGCGTGACAAGCGAACGCTGTAACCATTAGGCTACCCCACCGTCCCCTAAAAGGTTTTAACTGAGCTAATGTAGTTGGTTGGTTTGTTGTTTAACGCTGCACTCAGCAATATTCCAGCTATATGGCGGCGGTCTGTAAATAATCGAGTCTGGGCCAGATAATCCGGTGATTAACAGCATGAGCATCGATATACGCAAATGGGATACGATTATATGTGTCAACCAAGTCAGCGAGCCTGACCACCTTATCCCGTTAGTCGCCTTTTACGACAAGCATGGGTTACCGAAGACCAGTGGGGCGGTGGGGTAGTCTCGTGGTTAAAGCGTTCGTTCGTCATGCCGAAGACCCGGGTTCGATTCCCAACATGGGTATAATGTGTGAAGCCCATTTCTGGTGTCCCCCGCCGTGATATTGCTTGAATACTGCGAAAAGCGGCGTAAAACCATACTCACTCACTTAAGACCAGTTCTAACCCGGATCTTTACTGAAAGCTTAACGCAACCAAACGAGTATATAAACCATCTCCGTGATGTAGTGGCCAGAACGCGTCTATGACGGAAAGACGTTGTTTTGATATCATCACCAACCAATACCCAAAAGCTACCAAGGCGGTATGCTACTTGTTGTTACCTTTCCTGGAGCTCGGCATTAAGGGAATACACATGAACTGACGGCCCCGGAATCAGTATAAAGTCTTGGTTGGGTATCTATGCTACACTGCTATCGTAGTGTCTTACCTGCGAATTCATAATGCTACCATATTTGTAGCATAAATTCTTCTTTGACTAATTATTCCAATCATTTTTCCGTTGCTTTTTGACTGTTTTTTCGTTACTTCCAATTGAAAGTTCGAATATCTTCTCTTAATTTAAATTATTTTCTCACTGTATCTATCATTTTCTCGATACTTCAAGTTTCTTTCAATACTCGAAATTTTGAAGGTTTGAAAGAAACTTGTAGCCAAAACATAGTCGAAACAACAAGAAAATAATTGAAATTCCAAGTCAGTGTTGGAAGCAACGCGGGACCTGAGTGCTAGGACGATCGTAACGCCCATACTTTAACAAATCAAACAACATGGCGTAACAAATCAGATTTGGCTATTCCTAAATTTCGCACCTCAATTCTCCAAAAGTCATTTATTTATGATTCTGCATGTTTATGGAATGCTCTTTCCTCTACAACAAATGTACAAATTCATTATCATCGTTTACATCAAAGTTATCTGGAAAAGAAAATGACGAAGTTCCAAAATATTTTCTATTTGGTGAAAGAAAGACAAATATACTACACACGAAGTTCGTGTAGTTCATTACATGCAGATCTTTTTCGTATTGATTTATCAGAGAGTAAAGTTGGCAATTCGGTGGAAGATGCTCACCATTTCTTTTTAAAACGTCCACAATTTGTCAGCTGCCGTTTTGATCTGACTTTGAACTATCAAAAGTTCACTTAGACATTGATACCATTCTTTACGGCAACCCTGCTCTGCCAAATACTATTAATGAAAATATCTTTAGTAATGTGCATAAATACATTGTACGAAGTAAGCGCTTCGATTAATGAATAACATGTCTTTATATTAGCATGTCCATTCATTACTGTTCATGTTTCTGATTCGAGCGGGCGGTAATAAGTTACATAACGTGTGCCCAATCCCTTTCAACATTGAATAAAATATATTCAAACAAACAAACATTAACATAATAGTATTGCATTTTAACGGGGGGACAATTCGGGGGAAATCCTTAAGAGTTACCTGCTCCTTGATCAACTCTCTCGCCAGGGTGGCTAGCAGACGACACACGAGTGTAGGACAGGAAAAGTAAAGCTGTCTCTATCACTAACAGTTCGTGGACGGAAACATAGGCTTCAGGTGCAGAGGCTGACAAGGTAAGTACTGCTTTTAAAGAGAATGTTATGTAACTCCTCTGTCTTGAATTCCACCCAAACAGCTACAGAATTAAGTGTTGGACGTGCGCTGGGTTCGGCCCAAAGCCATGAATACATGGACATTTTGTTCTCACATTTTCTGTAAAGCTGTTAGATAATAAAGACTTGTGACACAGTACTTTTATCAGTTTACCATAGAAGAGTAAGAATGGCGAAAGTTGCTGTCCTTTTATGAATAACAGCTTCACGACAACACTTACCGCTGCCTGTTTTTCAAAACATTTCAGGGGTAGTGGGGTGTTTCAGGTTTCAATCAGATACATTCTTTATGTTCTGTAACTGTAAAACATCACATTAACTTCCATAAGACAACTTTACTTGAAACACAATACATCATCCGAGTATTCACATTGTCATAGCGATGCAGTATACCTCATAAAGCATGCAGTCGTATGAAGCATGAAAACATATAATCCGAGGATACTGCCTATGTGTAACTTCAATGTGATAAATAGTTCGCCCTGATTGACAGACATCAATTTTCACCCATAACATCAAAAGACCATCAAAAACTCCGATGTTGGTAGAAAATTTTCGCTAAGATTTCCCACAATGAAGCACACAGGCAAGTAAATTTGTTCAAATTTGCCTCAGTTCACGAAAATGTGTCATAAGTAATTTGACTATAAACCTTCTTAGTTCTAGCACCTCACAGGCTGCAGTTTTGGTTATCCGGGGTAATAATGTCCATTATGCTGTATGAAATAAGGCTACTTTTTTTTACTATTAAAACATGGGCCATTCTTTGTTTTTAACCTTTGTGCGAAAAAAGTGGACATTTGCAGCAATGGGTTCAGGTGTTTATACATGAACCTTAATCCCAGTGGAATCACAAGATGTTCATGTTTATTTTATTCATACATATGTACAAAATAATAGTTTATCACCATATCAGTTTTGTCATTATTGCAGGATGTACAATGATCCACTTTACCACTGGGGCGGTGGTGTAGCCTAGTGGTTAAAGCGCTCGCTTGTCTCGCCAAAGACCGGGTTCGATTCCCCATATGGGTACAATGTGTGACGCCCATTTCTAGTGTCCCCCGTCATTATATTGCTGGAATATTGCTAAAAGCGGCATAGAACCATACTCAGTCAGTCTTACCAAATTTAGCCAATTTATCAGGTGAAACAAAGTGATATGTATACACATTTATGTAATAGTCTCTGTATGTATCCAAATTTATTGTGACGTCTCCATCAATGTAATCTTTCCTTCAATAATGCTCTGCATCAAGTGACAGTACTAACAACACATCAAAGTAGCCAGATATATGACAACACATGATTTAAAAGAGCATATTTTATTTTATTTTCATTAAAGAAACTGTACATTTAACAAGCAGATAAATTTTTTTTCACCTTGAACAAATTATTAATATTTTGCAACTAATTAATTATAAGTGTATGTCATCATCAATGAAATGCTTGTGAATTAAGTTAACTGGCAGTGTTTCATCTAATGAACTACTATCAGCTGCTATATAAGAAAACATCCTCAATGCAGTAAATATATATGGTATTACAAGTAGTATCAAAAATACATACCTCAAGACAGCTAGCTACACAGTCCTGCATATATACGAAATGACCAATGACCCTTTTATGCATAGATAATACCCTACAGTGGGCAACAGGCTTGAGCGTTGACACTGTTAAGTCTGGACAGGGGACACTTCTTTTCGAAACTGCTAATTTAAAATATTCAATGATAATTACACTAATACAAAGCAGAATTTTAGTAAACACTTTCATAAAGCTTGATGTTTCTTCATTCACGAAAACATGTTTGTTTGGGGCAAGCAAAAACCATACTTGTCTTTTAACAACATACTTATCTTTCTTGCACGGCTATCTGATAATGATTATCAGTGATTGATATTGGATATTATTTCAGGTAACAGTTACATCAGCATGGGAAAAACATTTCAAGAACTTTAAAGTAAGACTTCTACTGAAGAGTCTGACATAATGTGAGACATCTCATTGGTTCTTTTTGTACCTGTCCATGTTCATTTGCTTTTAAATATGCATTTTATTGTCTGTACCTGTCCAGATGTATCAAAAGCTTAACGCTTAGGCAACAAATTACATGTCAATATGCCATCTAAGAGAACCTACTCCAGGGAAAATGATGCATGCTTAGGTAACTTATTGGTTAAGGGTGAATATAGTCTGTGCTGTAAGCCATTTTATATATGTGAACTATATACTGTTGTATACTGGCAATATCGAACATACACATTGGCAGGGGAAAACTGCCTCGACCTTGATGTCATCTGATCATACAAAGGATGGTTTGTTTACTAAGGGATAAAAACATGTGAACAATTGAGATTAAGTATAACAAATACTCTGAATTTGTAGTGAAAAAAGCATCTTATATAGTCTGTTTTCAAAATGTCTGAAAGATAAGTGCCAAACTTTGTTAGACACTACTTACTATGAATCCACCCAGCAATATATTCATAGGCATAACATATTGAATATGAACAAACTAAGCACATCTGACAAACTAACAAAACACACATGTACGGTCCCACATTGAACAGCACACTAATACATCGTAACTAAAATCTAACATTGAGCATACTATGTACAGGACAGAAGTAGTTAAACGAGCATTTATATCAGAGAAAAAAAACCAGATAATAGATTTGGCACTTAGAAACTATTGCAGAAAGCGGCACTTATTCATAGAAAAATATAGGCATTGATAAGAGAGGTCCTTTAAAATTAACTTTGTTTTGCCATGAATCACTTCAAAATTGCTGTGATACAGTGTTAACAATATTCCCTCATTCACTGCTTTAATTGGTAGATTTAACAGGACAATGTACTTCATCATGATAAATCCCAGTCAGTATCGACATTGAAATAAACCTGGTAGATGTGTGTAGTCACTATCATCATGCCAGAGATCAAAGGACAAGCTTCCAGCTGATGTCAGGGTCATCATGCCACAGATGTCCACAGATCTATGTTCCTGTGTTGTCAGGGTAATTCCACAGATACATGTTCAAGACATAATCCTTGAGGCTGTCTGGGTTCACAGATTCATGTAGCATGCTAGAACCAGGTTGACGTCCGAAATATAACCTCCTGAAGTCCTACATTCATCTATCAGCTCACCAGCCAGTACCGTACACACAGCCAGTTATATACCATTTGCAGTGTACATGTATTTACAATTCTTGCTTAGGCCAGACCAATTATATTTCTTGTTTTATGGATTTTTGTCTTCAGAAAACCTAAAGGCAGGAGGTAAAATTAAAAAATCACCAAAGTACTATTCCATTTAAATACTAAAAGTAATGTAATTTTGGCAATTAATGAAGTGCATATGGGGCAAAACCAATCTTTAAAAATATTCTTGTAACTTTACATTTTTCGCCAATGAAAACATTAGGATTTTATTTTTTGAGCGGGAATTTTTTTGTTTTCTATTCTTGAAACAATACGACCGGTGGATCCGTAAAACAAGAAATAAAATTGGTCTGGCCTTATCTTTCATATGTTATTATTGTTAAATCCTTTGAAAAAGAAGGTTTTTTACAGAAAAAATCAGGCATGAAGAAAAATAATGCCACAAAACTGTTCAAGAGCAATGTAGTACCTTTCTTTTATTCTCGGACAGTGTGCTAATATTGATCCATAAATACATAACCATGCCTCATATCAATAAAACAGCATATCACAAGAAGTCATCTATGATAAATATATTGGACTAAAACATTTGGCAAGAGGCAAGGCTACAAATTAAGCAATTGACTAAAAAAGCAAGCACCGATGAAATGACTACAGAATTCTCATATGTTTTCTACCCTGTATGAAATTGTCTGTCTCGAAAAATCAACTTACAATTTAAATATGCAAAATTTGTAGTACCCCGGTACAACTTTATCTCGTTGCAATGTTATCAGGAAAGACATGGCCATTTAGGACTGAACTCAGCAATCATCAAACTCTCAAAACTCTCAAATACATTCAGTTTAAGATAAAACATAATGTTACACACCATTATATGTTGGGGTAACTCATTAACAACAACCCTGGCTATGCCTTCTTCACAATGATAAAACATTGCTATATTGGATAAAAGGTAAAATAAAATAAAATTTGATCTCCAGATGTACATGCCCCAGGTATGTCTCTGACTTGTGTGGAGTCTGTTTGAAGACAAGTGCTTAATGCCACAATTATCAGAAGACTGTTATCAGCTCGGTATCAAAAGCTTCAGAGTCTACTTGACCAAATTTGTTTCTCAGCATAATTTTCAGTAGAATTTAGATGAGTTTGCGTTGGTCTATTATCGGTCGAGCATACAAGACCAATTAGTATTGTTCTGCACAATCATGCTTAGAATGTTTAGAGTTAGGGACATTCATAATTTATGGCTAGGGGGGTGATGATGATTTTAGGGGTGGGTGGGGTGGTGGTGTTCCACCCATTTTGTTCTGGCGAGCTAGGGGGTCATCAATTTTGTACACATGTACTGGGGGTGTCATCAATTTTGTTCATAAAAATATGTTTAAAATTATGCTTAGAAATTATTGGTAGGTGGGGGGTCATTGATTTTGTACATGACATGCAGGGGGGTCACTTATTTTGTACATACATTTTAGGGGGGGTCATTCACATTGTACATGCTTCTCCATAAAAAATCATCATCACCCCCAAGCCATAAATTATGAACGGCCCCTTAGTCTGAATGTGTCATGCATGTAGTTGATACTAATGTAATACAATCTTAAAAATGTCAACTAATGTACAATGCAACGAGTCAGAGTATTTTAAACCAATGCTATATATGAAATGACTGTTACTTCTAGTAGAAGTAGAAGTTCTACATTTTCCTCCTTTTATGCCATTATGGAATGAATGAATGTTGGGCACGAGTAGATGGTAGATGAGGTACATAGTTAGAAACACAGGCAGAAATTAGAAATGCAAAATAACACATGAATGTATCAAAATATAGCTTAAAAATGTTGTTTATGATTAACCAACTGCAACTGAGTGAATTACAAGTTAAAGACATGAAGACTCAATTAAAGGCCACACTTTTTGATCAAGTAAATTGGTTTTAACACTGCACAGTGTTTCAATTCATGGCATCAAACTATTAGGATGATGACCCATTTTACCAGATATGAGAATGATATTTGGCGCATGGCGTTTTTAATGGAACAATGATCTATGCCCTCTGGCAGTCTTAGGCACAGCTTTGAACTTCATTTATTTATAAAAGAATAGTGTTAGGTCAGATGAATGGAAATCATACCATTTTCTAATCCAAGTTTACTACATGCTGCTGAATCTTGGATTCAGTGGTAATTTCAGGGGTTTTAGAAATGTTGGAATAAAAAGATATAAAACTTGTGTTTTCAAAATGGTTAGAGAATGCTTTAATGCACCATCCAATGTACCGTGAAAGCCTAGTGTGTTTCTACCTCTTGATACTCCACCCAATCCTTAAAGTTTTGTTGAAATAAAAAATCAACATCAACAGCAAATGGAGACATTTGGGGCAGAATGGAATTGGTGAAAGTGACTCACTTTTGTAAAATGACAACTGTAGTCCATCACAGCATGTAATGTAGACACAAATCTATATCAATCTCTTATATCACAAGTAATATCGTGCAAATGTTCAAAGCCTTAGATCAGATGCATGATGACATATGCAATTGCAGAAAAAAGAACACAATGAATTTCTCCACTTGATGTTGCAATAAAGCACCAGAATGAGTTATTGTTGCACCATTCCGCAAACATTAGTTTTGTCATTTTTCACAATGATTCACTTTAACAATATTATTCAAAATGTCATTGTTCAACTCATGATGTTTTGTACATATTTTCACATTGCTCCTCAGTGCTTTAAGATCGCACAACCTTGAACTCCTTTATGTGAAGTGTTGCTGATAGTCCCATACATTGAAGAGTCTTAAACAATACACACAAGATTCATGCTCAGGGCAATATCAGATGATGGTTTTGTTACATCATGCTCATGTGTTATTATGCATGACACTGGCACTTCTTTTAGTAAGCTGAACATACTGTCCTCAAGTTCATCCAGAATTTTGAGTTAAAATGTCAGTGGGGCTCATTTGCAGTTCATGGTTAGTATCTTGTGCAGTAGACCTTTTCCCATCATTCCCTTAGTCAGTGATGCAGTAAACATGAAAACTAGCTTTAGGAAATTGATGAAGAGACACATGAATTCCAAGCAAATCCAGTTGTTCAATCCATATGGTCAGATACTGTTTTGACGATTTGGTTTGGATCTCAATAAGCATATTACTCAGATCTATTAATCAATGTCATGTCAGAAAGATTTCAAGTAAAATCTCTACAGAAATGACTGTGAATGTTTCCTTCAGGTGAATATTTAACAATGAGATAAATGAGATTCTCTTCTAAGGTAAGATTCCAATTATCAGCATATATGGTGCATGAAATCTCCACGCCGCTACCATTGTTATTGGCTTGTCAAACTTGATCAAAGTACACAATCGTGTAAATATTTGACTCTGAGATTGTACAATATAACAGTTCAGTTCCAGTCACATTATACTTGAGTCAGCATTTGTGTTGCATATGGTCCATGATTTACACTGATCATGCTGAAACATGGTTGCACAATTTCAATGTGAACGACACCTGCTGCACCTCTACATGTGCTGTTCGTAGTTAGAACTCCCTGTAGATGTTCTGTTCAGGAGTGTTGGAGGAGGTGAGACTGCTGTGGGACTAGCTTCAACACGCCCATAGTTGCTGTTTCTTGTGCTCACGAACATTGGCTTCGGTGCAACTTTAGGTGGATTGGACTTCCTTTTAGAGTCTCGAGCATCTGATGCAGGTTTTGTGGACTCTCTTGCTGGTTTCTTAGGCCTCATGGTAACTTCAGTACTGTCTGGATCTTTTTTCGTCACAACACCTTCCCCCAGTAGCTCTCCAACAAGAAAGGAAATATCAAGAACATTATTGTCTTCATCTGTCTTGCTGCTGGTTCTAGGTTTGGCAGAGGGAAGCATGGATGATTGAGTTGGCAGTGGAGGAAGATTCTCCTGTGTGGATTTGTCTACAGATCCTCTGTTGCTAGGTATTTCACTTGAAGGTTGTGAGGGCTTTTTGTCATTGCTTGGCTTATCATCAGGTTTAGTACTTTCTGGTGTAACATTTGTTCTTATGGGCTCTGGCTCATGTTTAAGTGTGGGTTCATTCTGGATTCTGCCATCCACTATGTCTCTTACAGGCTTCTGAGTGACTTGCTCTGGATTATAGGGTGTGAAAGGTTTTGGACTTTGCAAACTTGTGCGAGGCTTGGGGATTTGCACAGGTGTAATAGTCAGTGGACGTGGAATGGGTTTCTCTTCTTTAGGTTCCTGGTTAGTCTGAGTGGCAGCAGCAGTTATTGGACTATTTGTCTCTTGAGGAATGGGTTCGTTCTTAAGATTTGGAGAAGGATCTTGAGGATCTGTGGTTTCTTTATTTTGTATGGGGACAGCAGATACTGGATTACGTACACTTGCAGGACGGGGAAGACTACCCAGATTTGGAGGCGGAGGAGGATTTTGTTCTTCTGTTGTAGCTTTGCTTGTTTGAGCTCCAGTTTGAACAGGGGGGAATGTACCAGAATTACGAACACTTGCAGGCCTTGGAAGACTATCCAGATTTGGAGGTGGAGGAGGTTCTTGAGAATGTGTGCTTGCTCTATTATTTTGCAAAGGAGCTGTTGAAGTTGAAGAATAACGCACTTTTGGAGGAGGAGGGACCTTCTTCAAATTTTGTGGTGAAATTTTGTCTGTGTTATCAGGTATAGGAACTGTAGTTGGAGCATAGAGAACTCGAGGTGGTGGTGGATGATTCTGACTTGGGGGTGGGGGGCTATATTGTTTTAGGGGTTGGATATTTTGTGGCTCAGGAGGAAATGTGAAATTTTCGAGATTGGCAGGAGGTGGAGGGAAATAAGGTGGAGGTGAGCGATCATTCTCATTGGGGTCAGGAGGAGGATCTGGCAACACAAAATCAGGTTGAAGATGAAATGACCCAGTACTGCCTCTCTTCTGCTTGTTTTTCTTGTCTTTTTGTGGTTTCTGTTTTGATTCATGTGATCCACTTTTCATATTTTCTTTTGGATCCGTTATGAGAGGACTAGTTGCACTATTCCTATCTCGTTGAGCATTCACATAGTCCTGATATTCAGAATCATCCTTTAAAGGAAAGCCATAATCTCTCACTGGGAGTCGACTTTTGAATGATGAAATCCTTTCCCGAGGAACACCTTCAACATCTAAATCCACTACGGCATAAGGCAGGTCAGATGCATCTTCGAGTTCTGTCCAACCAGCCTTTTTCCTGTTGTTGTTTTCAGCCTTAAGTTCCAGAAGTCGAGAGTTCTTCTTAGCTGATGAGGCCATATAGCAAGTGTCAGTTCTTTTGGGGCCTAACGAATCCGACCATCTTAGGTTTGCATTTTCTTTGTAGGATTCTGACGGTAAAAGTTTGGTGTCTTCCAGTTCCTTGTCTACGTCTCGCTCTTTGTCTGATCCACTTTTCCTGTAGGTTCCATTTTTGGCTGATGTACTGCTTTCAGGACGTGTTGTGGGCATATCAACATACTGAAAACAAGACATATTGATGACATAAAGTATCATTACACGCCTACCTGAGGACTGTAATAAAGCATACAACTGTATTTATAACTACTTCTTGTTTATTGCATAGGACGTTTCGATGTGGACCCTTACACCATTTTCAAGCTTAAAAGGGTTGTAAGAATCTACGCCGAAACATCGTTCCAGATACAGTAATCATAAACAGGAAGTCATATGTTTTATTATTGAATCACCAACTTTTAAAATGCTGATCAAACAATTACCTGAGGACTGGCTGGCATTTCTAGTGAAATGAGAAATGAGTAGAAAACCATAAACAAAGACTTTAAACCAATCACCTTTGATTCACTATGACATATGACCTATTTTGCTGTCAAGAACACCTGAAATCTTTAAGTCTATACTCACGTCATGTTCTTGTGGCAGTAGCTTGTCATCTTGAACAGATATTTCCAACTTGTCACTCTTGCGCCCTTTGCTGAAAACCACAAACACAATTCAGCTGATTACCCATATACTGAAGTTGGGACATATTTCTGTTTCAAATATACTTATATCCAAAGCATTTCCTGTTGTAAACATCAGCTTGTTTTAGTCAGTAGTTCTGTGGATGCTTATCCAATATAGGTGTGTTGAGATTATAGGTGTGTTGTGCAAAATGCCAGTTTCTAACATTGAAACAAAGAAGCCATTGCCCCAAACTGGAAACAAAGCATCAAATAATTGTCTAGCTATTGGTTGAACAAATTTGATGTGATATGTAATTAATGACAATTCTCGATGAATAAATAATATCGAAATATTAGTTTGCACTGCACCTCTGAGACAGATGTGGACAGAGAGAGTACTATAGGTTTAAGTGATGACAGGTGAATACAGTCAGTCACATTCATCATGCCCATGATTGCTTATAACGTTTGAAAGTACATGTACTTATTTTTGACCCAACAATTCACTGATATTCTTAAATTTGGTTCTAATTCTAATTCTTATGTGGAGCCACAACAGTTATGGTAGTCAGGAGATCCAACATACTCACCAGCATCCCCATATGACGCAGAAGAAGATGAACAACAGGAGGAGCAGCACACTTGCCACTATTAGCACTGTGTACATGAGTGCAAGATCTGAAACATACCACATCTCATAGAGAATTCTAATTTGACTCTTGTGAACATGATCTGTGTCCTCAAGCATCCAGTTTCTTGGAGTAATAATAGTGGATTAAAGCATTGCTAAAATTAGAATATCTAGGTCATAAATGTTTCAACTTATTATATAATCATGTTAAAAGATTGATTTTACCGACTGTAATTATTTGATGCAGTCTGCTATTTTTGTAGGCATATTTTCCATAGTTTTTATCCTTAGTATATATGGAGTAGAATAAGCTGATCTTACTAAATCACACAAAATGTTATGGGCAACCATCTGGCTGTAATTTACCTTTTCACATTCAGTGACAAAGACATATTTGCTACATACTTATGAAAAACAGAGCCAGAGAGACAAGAGTTATGTCCCCTGTTTTATCACCTGTACATTCACATCGGTAGGAAACATTTCAAGTGTTGTTAAAAGCAGTGTTGATATGGGAAAAGTAAGAAGGGGAGAATAAAAGTACTGGTACTTTATTGCTAAACTAATTATCTGCATTGTACATTGTATATCAAAATTGCCAGTAGCAATGACTATATTCTTCTGCAACATCATTTATACAAAACTATGATTGTTTATCAGTTTTACTATATATATTTATGTGTTTTATAAGCGGCACTTGCAAATATTTTTGATGAATAATTGTTTAACATATATATCTTCTTTGTTCAAATACTAATACCTGCAGCTAATAACAATAGATAACAATAGATGGTTCAAATCATGTTTTACTTCTCAAGTAAAAAGTAACTCTTGCACCATTTGACAAATGGCTTGAGTATAGAACTTAAATGAATATGCATAACTCACATGCTTTCAGGTCTACTTTGACTGGTGCACTGAAAGGTCCATTCCCAGCTGCTGACACGCCACACACTTTGATGAGGTACGTGTGGCCAGTGTCCAAATCCTTCAATGTGTAGCTGCTCCCTCTACCTATGACCATCTGACTCTGTTCAGATCCTGGAAACAAATGTTGGTTTCTTATAACATATGTTGAAATGTTATTTCCAAGAAATCGAACACTGCATCTTCTTTGTGAGGAAAAAACACAAGCCACAAGGCAACCCACCATCCTCACAAACTTAAAAGATTGTTTCCCTGCTGAGATACAAACATGTGGATATAAACATGAACAGTCAATTTCAGGAAGCAAGTCGTTTTCACAGATGATTGAAGTTTTTAGCAGAATGTGGTGATATTGACTTATTCTCAATCAATATAAATTATTACCTGTACATGTGTCCCCTCCATCAACAACACAGTACACCACAAGTACACCTGTCAGTACACTAGGTGTCTCCAAGCAGCTCAGTTTCTGCCATTCCATGTCTATACTGGCAGTCGATGGGTCACTGGTCATGTGCAGAACCTCAGGTGCTGCTGTTGGAACTGAAGAAATTAGAAAATAACACGATGTAATTTGTTTTGAAATTAAACGAAAACGTGTTGACAACCAAATATTGACTTGGGGATATTTAGTGGTCCTGGTGAATTTTTACTAGCAAGGGACCACGGGACTAGCATAAATTTTGGTCATTGTCGACTCAGAGTCACAAGGATTTGGGAACATGTAAGGCAGGAGAAGACACACTCATTGTTGAAATTGTCACTCACCGTTCCCACTGATGTGGAGGCACTGACTCCATGAGATGCCACTACTGGTCACCTGGCTTGCATCACTTGCCCTCCGTGTCCTCGATGAGGTCATGATGGCCTCAGCAGAGATCCCCACCGTGTAGTCTTGTGTAGTGTTCTCACTGAGGCCTGGGAGTGTCAGATTGTACTCCGTGGTGTTGGGGGCCACAGTCGTCCAGTCCAAGGGGGTCTGTAGGGAAGAATTAATGGACTTGTTGGAAGGAATTGTTTCAGTGTGTACATTTCTGCTGCCCATGTTTTTGTTCCTGTGTGTGACAGGAGATTCTAGGTCATTGATTCAGAGACAGAATAAGCCCAAGCATGTTTAGAAGAGCTGACAAAAGGTTTGCATTAAACAATTCTCATATGCTCTTTGCTGCAACTAGTATACACTAAGAGGCTTACTGTGCAGCTGGTTGTGTTTTCTTCCCTCATGCACCAGTATATGGTGTAGGACACAACTCGGGTGTGGAGTGGTTGCCAGTTGATGTTGAAGTTGCCAGGCTCCTCATCCGTCATAAACTCCACTGTAAAGTCCTGGGGTGGTGACACACCTGTAGTGAACCAATCAGAGATCTCTTGTTGATCATGTAATCCCCTAATTCTTGAGTTACATACTAAGAACTTTGTTTTCATGATATTTTAGGATAAGTTCCCAGTTACCTATGCTTGCCATAATTCAGGGAGGCAGGACCCGTGAAGGTCCGGGTTAGAATATTGGCCTTCAGTAACCCATGCTTGTCGTAAGAGGTGACTAACGGGATCGGGTGGTCAGGCTCGCTGACTTGGTTGACACATGTCATCGGTTCCCAATTGCACAGATCGATGCTCATGTTGTTGATCACTGGATTGTCTGTTCCAGATTCGATTATTTACAGGCCGCCGCCATACAGCGGGAATATTGCTGAGTGTGGCGTAAAACTAAACTCACTCACTCACTCACTCACTCAGGTAGGCAGACTCAGAGATTTGGTTGATTGTATCACAGTCATTGTTCCTGACTGTGAGGGATGTTGCTTCTCATCGCCTCAGTTACTTGTTAATCTGTGCCCTCTTGCACAAAGCAATCGCAGTGCTAAGACTGTCTTACATCTATGTCAGAGTATGGGAGTTACGATCATGTAGCGCTAAGATCACTTTGTGCAAGTAGTCCCTGGTCCAGACTGCTTTCACCTGACCCAATGCTCCTTGATGTAATATCTGCCACCTAATAGACATTTTCTCAAATTTTCTTTCATTGAGCTTTCCAATTTTGAATCAAGAATTAATATATTTAAAATGCAAATATTGAAAATATTTTCAAAGCATAGTCTGGATTAGAATTCACCAGTTTGAAACAGGTGTTGTACCACGAAAGATGCTTTTTGTTTGGCTATTGTCAGATTCTTGTTAGTCATTTCATTCGTCGATCAAAATTTGCAAACAGTTGTTCTGACATTACCTGTACTGGAATATCCTCAGATATTTCTTTAGCAGTATCATGGACTAAGATCTGGTTTTATGACATTTCTCTTTTTTCAGTCACGTAAGTACCATCTTTTTGCCTCACTATTTAGCTAGTGTCCTTTTTATGAACCAGAGAATGTAAAACAACAATACTGTTAAATAGTGTGGTCGGAGAAAGCATTTCATTAATTGATATTGACCCAGAAGCCTAAGTGTGTTACCTAACTAACACATTGTAATGTCTGTTGTTAGCTCTCTCCGATGTGGTATTCTTCCCAGTCACATCAATCTGAGTGACTACAAAGTAATTCAGTGGATCTCATCATCCGGAGCCACAGTGTATGATATGTTATGACTGTTATGTCTCACGGCCCACTTCTTTACACTGATCACATGTATTGTTGCTAATGCTTTCAGTCACTAATTTGCCTGTCCACTCACTCACTCACTCACTCACTCACTCACTCACTCACTCACTCACTCACTCACTCACTCCACCTGCCCCCTCACCCCCCTCATTCCACTCATCCCACATGCCCCACTCACCCGACTCATCCCTTTCACCCCACTTGCACCACTCATCCCACTTACCCCACCTGCCCACTTACCCGACTCATTCCATTCATCCCACTTACCCCACCTGCCCACTCACCCCACTTATTCCACTTACCCGACTCATCCCATTCACCACACTTACCCCACCTGCCCACTCACAACACTTATCCCACTCACCCCAACTCTCTCCTCTGCCCACTCGTCCTACTTACCCCACCTGCCCACTCACCCACTTACCCAACTCATCCCATTCACCCCACTTATCCCACTTACCCCACTCAATATTAAAAGATTTTTATTTGTAATATGACACAGATTCTTCTGTGTGCAGCCTGTTTTCAGAAATTCTGCAGATTCTGCCCACAAATAATAGGTATCATCGACATGAACTTGAGTTGAGTTACAATGTAGTTTTGAAAGCAACAATTTAATATGCTAGATGACAAAGGATTTAAGAACAAAAGACCCACAAATATACCTTTTCCCTGTGGTGCGATGGTGATGTGTTTGGACTTGGTGGAGCATCCCATCTCTGTACAGGCCGAGGTCTGGACCTGGTAGGTGTTGTTTGGCTCCAGGCGGAGTTCTAGTGACGTCTGTGTCTTGTTCGTCACAGTGAAGTCAGTCTCGTTTCCGATATCAGTGTCTCCCACAAAGATGTGATATTCTGTGATGGGACCATTACGCAGATGTGCAGGAACAGCCTAACAGATGGTGAATGATCAGTTAGACCTCTTCTCATAGTAAGGAGAAATCTCTTTATGTTCGGTTGTCTTTGTATTTATAAGTGTCCTCAGATCGAATTTGTTTTGTGTAATATTTAGCATCATTGAGTATTTGTTGAGGTTAATATTGTTTTAGTCAAACACTTGTTTCACTTGATTACATATTTATAATACTGACTAATCTGGCTGATTGTGGGACTATATTAACATGTGAATTGTCTACAAAAGTGAAATGTTGAAATCTAGTATTCATTTTCTTAAGAATTTTCCACAAACCTTTTTTTCTGCATGTGTAGTTTAATAGTGTGCAACAGTATTGTTAATATTGACAGACTAGTGAAATTTCACTGTATTTAGCTATCTCACTGTGAAAAACTTCAATAATTGCACATGTTGATGAGTTGTTGTAAGTATATGTTAATCTATGGGAGTTAAGATCAGCTTTGGGGCGGTGGGGTAGCCTAGTGGTTAAAGCGTTGTCTCGCCATGCCGAAGACCTGGGTTGATCTTCAGTAACCCATGCTTGTTGTAAGAGGCAACTAATGGGATCAGGTTGTCAGGCACGCTGACTTGGTTGACACATCCCAATTGCGTAGATTGATACTATTTATCACTGGATTGTCTGGTCCAGACTCAATTAATTACAGACCGCCGCCGCCATATAGCTAGGATATTGCTTAGTGCGGCGTAAAACTCAACTCATACACACACAATGTGAAAATACAAATATCCTCTATGGATCATGTACTTCTTAAAATCAATGACTGTTGTCATACCTTCCAGAACAGCAAGATCTCTCTGCAGTTGTCTTCTTCACAGTCAAGTTGTAGAAAACTCCCAGGATGCACTTCTGGTTGAGATGCAGGCACTACAAAATGATGTTTCATTAGTTTATGACTCAGATCCTTATAACACCAGATTCTTTGAGGCAAAATGCTTTGAACCAACAGTACAACTTATTAGGGCTGTGTATTGGCAAATAAGTTGTATTGCAATACATTCCAATTCAGGTTCCCATATTAGCATACATATTTCAGTATATAGTAACGAGCAGAAAAAATGCGACAAAAAACTTTATCCTGTAGACTCGATCCTACTATCAAAAAAGCCGAAATACATTGTTTCTAGCCGCCAGTAGCTTGCCTCTTTGGTATGGCATTATCTCCCTTGGGTTCAGGGATGGCTTGATCACGTGACCTCGTTGCTAGCAGACGATACCGAAGCTTTGCCATGACGTTACAAAACAACAGAAATTGACTCTTGGCATATTATGAAGCAGGTATTACATCCGTAACTAGACTTGTGAAACTGGCGGGACTGCATCGGGCCTCTGTTTCCAATTTGAAAAAATTTGGCGCAGGGTTAGGGACAGGGCGACAGGCTGGATCGGGACGTCGTGCTACTCTTGGGGCAAATGACAGACGACGTATTGCGCGTCTCGCGGCGGCGGCGAAGTACCCAAACTGGTCTGCAAAACAGCTTGCTGTGAAGGCGTCAAGTCAAGGAACCCCTAAGGTATCAGAATGAACAATCTGAAGATCTTTAAAGCAATCTGGATATGTCAAGCGAGTGCCGAAGAAAGTTCCTTTGATGACAACAGCACACATGGAAAAAAGGCTCGAGTGGTGCTGGGAAATGCAGGGTACAACGACTTTTCAAATGTGACTTTTACGGACGAATCAAAGTTTCAGTTTTATAGGATCACAAGAAAAAGGTGGTCAAGAGGTGGACGTAGCTTCAAAATGGTTCCGAAGTTCTCACCCGGTGTCATGGTTTGGGGTGGTATAGGCGCTGCTAACTATTACAGGAAGGATGGATTCACACAAGTACTGTCAACTTATACAAGAAGGCATAGGTAAATCCCATATAGGACAGAGTGGAATACCTTTCAAACTTTTACAGGACAATGCACCTGTACATAAGTCAAGACACCTGTAACTGGTTTGAAACGAGTCACGTGACCTTACAGAAATTTCCAGCGGCATCACCAGACCTGAACCCAATTGAAAATATGTTGCAGATTATGAAGGACAAATTAGAAAAGTTGGAACCGAAGAGTGTCGTTGAGTGGTCTAATCTCACCAGTCAAATATGGGTGGACCTACCCCAGGACTACATAGACAATTTGATTGACAGCACGGGACGCCGTATTCAGCAGTGCATCGAGCGAAACGGTGGACTAACAGACTATTGACTTGCATAAATGTAAACTTCAGTATCCAGAGTGGATGTATGAAAAATTTATAACTGAATTTATCAGTAAATAAATATTGAAACTATGTCTGTGAAAAGTTGCATTTTTTCTTCTCGTTACTGTATATTGGCAGCTAAGTATTTTCTCCATACAAAGATCCTAAAAATATATGTTATGGTTCTGATAACAGCAATCTCAAAATCAGGTTGGATACTTAGGGATTTTCTTTACTATTTTACACAGTTTATAGTATGTAAAATATGCCATTTTTCAATTAAGTACGAATGGAAATATCTTTCCCTAATGAAGAAAAATTATAGGCTGAAGGAATTTGAACTTACACAAACATACTGTAATTATTTGAAGCTTGTAAGTGTGGCTTGTAAGAGTGAATGTGTTGTAGGGTCTTGTGTTGTTTTGTTCTTTGTTCGAAGAAAAAATCCTGTATTTCTGTTGTCAAAGTTTTCTTGCAAAAGGCCCTAGAGTCCCTTGGTTCTATTGCCTTTTATTGTAACAGGGCAAACAGGAAATAAAAATTGTCCATTATGAAAAAATATCTTTTGCGAATGAAAGTCTGTGGAGAGTTTAACTTTAACCATAGACATAATCACAAAACATCATATATGTTTTGACTGATTTCCCTGTAATACCGCACAGTCCTACTACTTATCAAGGGTTTCGAGGTTAGTGTCATATACATATTGACCTTGATGGTCATTGTCTGATGTATTAAGTAATCCAGATTTATGTTCATTAGATCCTAACTGTATGATAGATGAAGCAATTTGCTGAAGAAACACAATCTAGAGTGTAGTAATATGTTGAGTATTTACTGTTAGAGTAATCAGGAATAGCCTTTGGAATAGCCTTGAATGTATGATACTTCTTGGCTGCATTCAAGTCAGTGTAGGTCCTGCTTGTCAGGGATGAGTGCTGATGTTTGGATTGTCGCAACTTGTATGAATGTTTATCTAATTCCTCAAAGCTGTCTTCCACACCACCTCTTTTCTTTAAACCATACACAACCTACATTCAATAGGACCCACTACCATGAGTAACGCACTCATGCGCCATCAGTTACACAGTTACCACCCACCATCAGTAACACAGTTCCCACCCACCATCAGTAACACAGTTCCCACCTACCATCAGTAACACAGTTCCCACCTACCATCAGTAACACAGTTACCACCTACCATCAGTAACACAGTTACCACCTACCAGCAGTAACACAGTTACCACCTACCAGCAGTAACACAGTTACCACAGTAACATAGTTCCCACAGTTGCCATCAGTAACACAGTTCCACAGTACCATCACCATCAGTAACACAGTTGCCACCTACCATCAGTAACACAGTTGCCACCCACCATCAGTAACACAGTTCCCACCTACCATCAGTAACACAGTTACCACCCACCATCAGTAACACAGTTACCACCTACCATCAGTAACACAGTTACCACCTACCAGCAGTAACACAGTTACCACCCACCATCAGTAACATAGTTCCCACCTACCATCAGTAACACAGTTGCCACCTTCCATCAGTAACACAGTTGCCACCCACCATCAGTAACACAGTTACCACTCACAATCAGGAACACAGTTGCCACCTACCATCGGTAACACAGTTGCCACCTACCATCAGTAACACAGTTGCCACCTACCATCAGTAACACAGTTGCCACCTACCATCAGTAACACAGTTGCCACCCACCATCAGTAATACAGTTGCCACCTACCATCAGTAACACAGTTTCCATCTACCATCGGTAACACAGTTACCACCTACCATCAGTAACACACCACCTACCATCAGTAACACAGTTACCACCCACCATCAGTAACACAGTTACCACCTACCATCAGTAACACAGTTACTACCTACCATCAGTAACACAGTTGCCACCCACCATCAGTAACACAGTTGCCACCTACCATCAGTAACACGGTTTCCACCTAACATCAGTAACACAGTTGCCACCTACCATCAGTAACAGTTACCACCTACCATCAGTAACACAGTTACCACCTACCATCAGTAACACAGTTGCACCTACCATCAGTAACACAGTTGCCACCTACCATCAGTAACACAGTTGCCACCCACCATCAGTTATACAGTTGCCACCTACCATCAGGAACACAGTTTCCACCTACCATCAGTAACACAGTTGCCACCTACCATCAGAAACACAGTTGCCACCCACCATCAGTAATACAGTTGCCACCTACCATCAGTAACACAGTTTCCATCTACCATCAGTAACACAGTTGCCACCTACCAGCAGTAACACAGTTGCCACCCACCATCAGTAACACACACCACCTACCATCACTAACACAGTTGCCACCTACCATCAGTAACACAGTTGCCACCTACCATCAGTAACACAGTTGCCACCTACCATCAGTAACACAGTTGCCACCTACCATCAGTAACACAGTTGCCACCTACCATCAGTAACACAGTTGCCACCTACCATCAGTAACACAGTTGCCACCTACCATCAGTAACACAGTTGCCACCTACCATCAGTAACACAGTTGCCACCCACCATCAGTTATACAGTTGCCACCTACCATCAGTAACACAGTTCCCACCCACCATCAGTAATACAGTTGCCACCTACCATCAGTAACACAGTTTCCATCTACCATCAGTAACACAGTTGCCACCTACCATCAGTAACACAGTTGCCACCTACCATCAGTAACACAGTTGCCACCCACCATCAGTAATACAGTTGCCACCTACCATCAGTAACACAGTTTCCATCCCACCATCAGTAATACCATCCATCAGTAACACAGTTAACACAGTTTACCACCTACCATCAGTAACACAGTTACCACCTACCATCAGTAACACACCACCTAGCATCAGTAACACAGTTACCACCTACCATCAGTAACACAGTTACCACCTACCATCAGTAACACAGTTACTACCTACCATCAGTAACACAGTTGCCACCCACCATCAGTAACACAGTTGCCACCTACCATCAGTAACACGGTTTCCACCTAACATCAGTAACACAGTTGCAACCTACCATCAGTAACAGTTACCACCTACCATCAGTAACACAGTTACCACCTACCATCAGTAACACAGTTGCACCTACCATCAGTAACAGTTGCCACCTACCATCAGTAACACAGTTACCACCTACCATCAGTAACACAGTTGCACCTAACATCAGTAACACAGTTGCCACCTACCGTCAGTCTGTGTGGTGTGTCTGAATGTGCTGACTTCACTCCAGAATCCCCCTTCTTCAGGGAGACAGGACACATTCCACTGATATACTGTCCCAGGCAAGAGGCCACACACAGAGACAGATCCATTGGACACATTGTCCACAGGCTGGAAGTGCACAGAAAACAAAGTAATTACATGGTAAACTAGTTTCTTATTAATCCATTTACACTTTTACTGAGATGCGTTTTTCAAGAAATGAACCTGTAGGGAATCCACATAAGAATAAAATGCCCATCCACCATGTGCTTTTTGTAGTGGTTGACTTGGTGGACTAGGCGCTGTAACTTGTTTTATTTAAGAAATACAGTTCGCTCTACCACCATGTATAGTGTAATAAAACACACTTTTGCCCTGAACTATTATAGTTAAAGCACGAGGACGCTTGCGTCCGAGTGCTTTAACGCCATAATAGTTCAGGGAGAAAGTGTGTTTTATTACATATACATGGTGGTAGAGCCGAACTGTATTTCTTTCTAAGATGCCAAATTTAATACTTTCTAAGGATAATTACGATTAATTTAAGGCAGAAAACAAACGACGGTGTCGGTGACCTAAATTAAGAATCCTCGCGACAGGGCTAACTGGCGCCATGTTCTATTGATGTGTCTGCCCCCTCTACGCTAAGATCTAACGCTACCAGAAAAACAAATGATAAACAGTTTCATGACGGTTTACGCTCGGATTAAATATCTTCTCTAAAGTATTTTAATTACATCTGTGATTAACGTAAACCATGTGAACATCGCATTTCTACTACCAACGTTTAGATCAGTACATCCAGACGAAGCTGAGTAGTCTAGCGACATTCAACGATTGCATTGTGGGAATGTAAACATTGCTAACGCTACCGTGTCGCTGAAAACTTCATGAAGTCTAATTGAGACATTTAAAACGTCAGAAAACATAAACGTAATGTTTCCACCAGTGATGTTAGGTGAGTGAAGCAACTGCAAACCAAGAAACGGGATGCAACGCAGTAGTTTACTGTAGGAGGCTGTACGAGGCGATGACAACTGACATGCATCGTGACGTCGCTTACATTGTGACGTAATGTAAAATGGTTCGATTACGAGGGGGCACACTAGAATGGCGCAGTGACGGGATAACGTCATTCAATTGTTACGTCATCAAAAACTATACCTTTATTGTCTGATAATGTATTTTCTTTTCGATTGTTCTAAGCGCTAAGCATCTTAGAATGCTAGTTATTGTAGCTCAAAAGCATAGATTAATGCCAATGATTGCTATCACTTGATTATCTGATCCTTTGTTTTGAATAATAAACAAATCCAAATGATGTATTTTCTCTTGTTTCAGCCATGTATATTGTTTGAGATGTAAAATCTGATTTCCAATGGGATTCATGACCTTTATATGGGTGTAACAAAACAATTGTATTTTATGATAGGTTCATAAATAGGATCTTCACCACCAGGGAATTATCAGTAGCAATCGCTGCATATTCTGATTCCATGTGTAATGAAATCAAAATGACTTTAACCAACACAGAGGGGCTGAGCCTCCCCTTTTTAAAGAATACTAAATATGTGAACGTATGAAAGGCTTATTTGATAATGTTAGACAAAAATAACATGGATACTAAACACAAGTTGTCTTGCTAAATATTTGCATTCCTTGTGCAAGTTTTATACTAGGTGCAACACTGACACTTAGACTCACCTGACAATAATCTTGCCAACTGGAGCAATTGTACAACATTCGACATTTTAGACTATGATTATCTACTTGTTGCCATGATAATGATGCACAGGTTTTGTTGAGATTGGTGGCGCTGATATCAGTCACAGCAGGTGGTCTTACTGTATACAGAATAAACAGGGAGATAGTTACAAAATACCCGATGTCATTGTTATGAACAGTGTTTAAGCTAAATCGTAGTGATATTTTGATGTATAGAAGGCATTTCAAAGATTCAGTTTCCATTGTAAATTGACTACATTATTAAATACAAAACAAACAGTAAAAGATGTTAACAGAATTCAAGAAGAGATATTTACCAATGACATTTGTGTCAAACTGAAAGCGTTCTGACACTTCACTACCCTTGACTATTCCCCTGCTTGTTAAAGTCATGACAGTGACCATGATTGTGTAGAGGCTTCCCATCTTGAAATTTTCTGCTGGCCAGTGGCAGGATCCAGGCACTTTGTCATCAACACAATCCTGGTTGGGAACGCCGCTGGAATAGTAATAATGTCAGGTATAACAAATGTGATGAAATTTCCGTTTATTTTGAAATATGAGGTTATATTTGTTCTATCATATGTAACATACAATTCTAGATCTCAAGATGTGTTTGACCTGCTCCACAATTTACTGATAAACTATCAGTAAACCATGAAATGATATTATTGAGGCCTCATCCACTCAGAACAGCTCAAATGAAAGGGTGTGAATAAATACTGACAAAATGTTTTCAATGCCAAAAAGCAGAGTTGCTTGTACAACTCTGACTGTGTCATAAGGATATGTGTATGAATCCAGCAATTTAAATAATCAATAGCCCGGAGGCCCAGCGCCAGTTTCAAATATTTGCAGGCCCTGATGGCCTTCAGTAAATTATCTGTCTATTTTTTTTTTCAACTAGAATCTTTCCCATAATTTTTTTTTTATTAACGTTCAGGAATCATCCATGATCCACCATGTTGTGATAACTTACAGCTTCACTTCCTGGTATTTCAGGGCTTTGCGCATAGGAATGTCAACACCAGTCTTTAACAAATAAAAACTTCTCTCTGCTCTTTAGGCTTCGCTAATTGATTGTGTTGAAACAGTGAGAAACTGTACAGTGTAGTCTATTTTGTTCTTATTGATTTGACTTCAAAATGGGCCTGCAGATTTCATTCAGGGCCTGTAGATTTTAAAGCCTGCAGCCAGCAGCAGGCCCTGATGGCCAACTGGCAAATTAAAGTATTGCAAACACTGTATGAATCACTATCCAACTGCCATGATACCAGATGATTGTGAAAAGGTTAGCATGTCTGACCCCACCAACAGCACCTATCATAAATACATGCAAAGGAAAGTCAGCTGTTCATGTGAAAAAAGAACTGTCATACCTCAACACATGGCGGATGATTTGTGGGAGTGGCATTTTCCATTTGAATAAATAATTCTGCATATTCTGTCAACACTAATTCAATGACAATGCTCTGCATTATGATTGATGACATCCACAAAATATTACACAAAAAATAATTTAGAAACTGTTGACACAAAATGTTGGTTTAATGTAGACCAAACTATGGTTTAGCCTAGTCAATCAGTACCTGGTGCTTGTGACATGTCAAGCCAGTGATGCTTGCCCATGTTAGTAGACACTACACAGAAATATTGGACTGACAGATGTGAAATAGCTGTGATTATTACTCCTATTGTTAAGAGCACATAAATGACAGTAGTATTTATTACTCACTTTGTACCATAGTTAAGTCTAGCAAGAATAACATCCGAGGCCGATGGTGATCCAACTTCCCATGGCCAGCTGCATGTCATGGTTGACCAGTTGTCCACCACACACGATACATTTGTTACCGCCTCCATTCTACCTGGCAACAGAAAATATTGTGAGCTGTACTGACTCTATTGTATCTGTGAAAAACAATTTAGGTAAATTAAGATGGAAATCAAATGAATAATCTTTTGCCCAACTTCTTCTCTTACTTTTTAAAAGGAAATCTTTAAGAGGATACTGAATTAATTCACTTACGTTATGCTTGATGAAGGACTAGGTTAGGTATTGTGTTTTGCTATCACATCTAGGTAGAAAGGTTGGCTACCTGAAACACATCATGCTCATTAAAATCATAGTCATCATCATCATCATCATCATCATTAATCACTTATATCACAGCAGCAATCTCAAAATCACTATCCTGATTTAGTTTCAGCCCCTTTGGGATATTAGGAATCCTTATTTTAAAATGAACATTTGTCTTTGCCAGAATAGTCTAAACATCTTCCCACCCCAATGTCACTGATAATGCTTTTCATGAATGCTGACTAACATTGGTAAAGACTTATGTGACTTGGTTGACATTTAACCCAAAAGACATGTGTCTGTCAACCACCAGGCATTTGCCCAGACCTGATAAATTAAAGGCTGTTATGGTATACTAGTAGCTTGTAAATAAATAAGACAGCATAACATTTTATATTAAGATAATCTGCAGTTGACAGCTGAGGCAAGATGTACATAGAACTCAAATACATTGAAATATTATGGAAAGTAATACAATGGATATTCAATAAACAATCATGATTTTCCTACTTCTGATATGGCATTGTTGGTTATTGGTTATTGGGAGGCAGAGAATAACAAAGAGGCCCAACATCATAATGTGCCTGCAGAAACAGGAAATCATACCATTGGGTTCCAACTGGAACATTAACCACAGAACAGCTATGTACAGAAAACATAAGAAAATTTATGTATTTGTGTAGATATACACAAATATTTTAAGAGAAGCATACCTGTCTATAATCATCAACAGGGGAAGTGTCAAGCTATGGTATTCTATGGTATTTACAGTGGTATTATCATGTTCTGAGAGCACCCAGCCAACTGACCCTAAAGTCATTGTGAAAGGTATTGCAGAGGGGCAAATAATCCATTGATTACCCCGTCAGTCCGAGGAGAGGATGTGCTTAATGAAGCATGTGCTCTTTCAGACCAGAAACCTCTTACACCACCAACAATGTTACAGATTAACTGGAACTCAACTATGCCTATTTGAATGGCTGAATGATTTCCTTCCTGCATGTTTTATTTGCTTGAAACAATGGAAAGGCAGTGTTCACGAATGGTGTTTCAAAGTCCCAGGACATTGGGTCCTGCAAGTTTCAGATGTCTGTCTGACCCATTAAAAATGCACAGGACCCATGGAATAAACTTAAACACACATTTCAGATTTAATATTTCTTATAATTGACATTGAAATTATTAACAAACATAAGATTTATAAACAGCAAACAAGTGTCACATGTCACATAAAACAACTTCAGTCAAGTCATTGTGAAATATACAGTCAGACACTGGGGCCGGCGGGTTGTAGACTTCTGTCTGACCGTTGGCAAATCTGCCGGATTTGTCAGAGGGTCAGACGCTATTCGTGAACACTGGTAAGGTTGATCACTAGTATTTGTGGACCTTGTTGGATATGACATAATAGAACGTTTGTAGCTGCATACTGGGTAAAGTAACAGATAAACAGTTTAAGGTAAATTTCGAAAACTTACTTTTAAATCCGTAACTGATTATGTTACAAATGTAAAATAGATTACATTTTTATTTTAGATTCGATCACTTTTCATTCAATTCAATATTTAATTCATTGGTTTTAAAATAATTCAAATGAAATTGAAGATTATGCCTTGGGGCACAGACTGCTTACCCTGGTCTGTATATGTGCAATACCCAGCACTTTGGCTTCAAATTGTACTCCTTATACAATGGGGGAAAAACAAATTCAAGATTCTTGGTCTAGATAATAAAGTCCATAAAGAATCCAGTTGTACTGAGGTCACAGAGAGTTGCTTTACCATAATCCAAAGCAGATTAGCATTGTTATGCAAATGCTAGTGATTTCTCATCACATGATAGGAGGTATAGGTTGGTTCTCAACATGGGCTTAGTGTATAAGCTATACCTCTTGGTGTCCCCAACTGTTAAACTGCCCTGCTAATAGCAGTTTATAAGGACACACTAATTTTAACTGAGCTCACACTTATAGGTCAGCTGAGATAAACACACATTTCAAGATAAGTTGTATTAGCCCAGCGTTGTATAAAATATTGAGGCCTGTCCTACTTATGCGTGGGTAGTAGAGTATAGGCTGTGATATTTCTATTATAAAGACACCCTTGTCAGTTTTATCATGAAGTATGATCCCCTTAACTGTTGCTTTCTTTCATAACTGCTTCACTAAGCCTGAAAGCTCTTTTCAGAGAGTACATGTTAAATGTCTTAGCTTGGAATATATGAAGCGTGTCTATATGTGAAAGGACCATAGGGGACATAATACATGACCTGTCTGTGCCCTAGAGTCACGATTACCTCCACACATGTGAGTCTAACATTACTTTCATCAAAACACAATTCAAATAACAATTATATAATACCAACGCCTCATTTGTGGAGTGCAAAATTCACATTTTCTCCTAATGTGATTTGGAATAGTTATTCTCTTAACCATATCTGTGCAATTACTGGTTTGAAGTTCATTTCCACTGACACTGAAAGAACTGCAACTAAAACCCATATACAGCATTGGCAGACAAATGGAATGTGAGCATTTTAGAGGCAGCAAGATATTGAGGAGTTGACTTTTTCACAAATTTAGTGTAGATTACCTATTCTATAATCTTTTATCATTGAAGACGCAAGATCTGTATTGGCAGATATACTGACAGCTAGTAGTTATGGTAGCAGCAGGAACAGTACATGTAAAATGTATAAAACACATCTGATATACAAGGCACCTAGCTATTAATTAATGTATTAATGTACAAGTTAATGTATGTAAATATTTAGTATGTGCTGCATGCATGTAGGGGTAGATGTTGTAAGCACCTCATGCTTATTTATTTGATATAAACATGAAGATTCTGCTTTTCATGAGATAAATTATCTTCTAGATCATGGTGGCTAGGCATCATTTGAAAATCCACTTGCTAAAAACATTTTTATGTGGTACAATGTAGTTAAATTTAAATCCTCATCTAAATTTTGTCCTATCTTGTGTTGAACCACAGACTGATGATGTGTAGTGATCAAACACAGAAGCCAGTGAGTTTAACAGTCTGCAACAATGCATCTCTATCCTGGCACCCTGTAAGTATTCCAGACCAGGCAAACTGGTGACTGAAAACATCAGCATTGACCTGCAACATCAGGTCACATTGTCACGTAATAAGCCAAGCCACTGTACCTGACCTCACAGTGTAATTATGTCATCTCTGGAGACGAGCAATGGAGTGCTTGGGACCTATTCAAACATGAGTCCTCAGGGTGCACAAATACAGGTACAGGAGCCATACCAGTCAGTGACACAGATACACAGGCTTCAACATTGACATGAATCCACTATTCTACCATTAGTTGCAAAACAATTCAGTAAAGACTTGTAACATTTCTTATGAATTAGTGCTTTAAAAAATTAGTGGATGAAATTATTTAGCTTGTTACTGATGCAGACTAGTTACAAGTAATATTTGTATAACATACCTCATATATTGAGCCCAAATCTAATTAAGTACATTCAAGGTTTTCCACACACAAAAAAATGTTTTCAGCAATGGCACATGAGATATGAATAATACTGGTACCACAGAAGAATTGCAAACTGGTCCATGATACATTGGTAATTAGCTGCTAAAACCATAGATACCTGTCAGTATGACCATTATTAGTCTACAGACACAATTCAGTACTCATAAATACTAGTAATTGGTTGCGATATTTAATTCTCAAATCCTGACTGGTGCCATATACTGGAATATTGCGGAGTGTGGCATAAAACTAAACTCACTCACTTAAATCCTGAGGGTCATGATGAGAACATGTATAGTTTTGAATCTACATCTTAGTTTCATGATGAAATGGTGATGTCTTGAGTAACAGATTCAGTAAGAAATATATACTCTTTTGTGTAATCTCTACAGAAAACAACAATGTGGTCTAATATTTGCAGTAGGTTAATATTCACTCAGGAGCAGCAAAACCATATAATGTCAATATTAGTAAAGAAGCTTACTGGAATACAGAAAACAAGCCCAGTTGTGTAAGCATGACTTGATGTTCAATCTAGACTTGCTTAAATCCATGCAAACATCAATACAACGTGTGCACAACTATTTATGTACATGTCCGTGAGGGAGTCTATACATCAATGCCTTGCCTACCATGTGCTACAGCTATCACAATAAAATGTCACCTACACAGCATTGTTTGGACATTTACAACTGTCACAATGAAACGTCACGCTCCACACAGTTTTAACACGAGTACAGGTTCAGCTATGCTGTCTGATAATCAGCATCTGGGCCAACAAGCCTACAATCTTGGTGGCTACCAGACCATGTACACCAGTAGCAATAAGGATAGAATTCTGTATCGCATAATTACATTGACAAGGCAACAATGTCAGCCTGTAACAAAAAAAATACAGTAACTCCTTTCACAAACATGTCACTCATAGCATGACGACATTAATCCATACCCATCTTGGCGGGATTCTGTTGTGGGCCAAAAAAACAAGTGAATACAAGGCATTCAAGAGTACTCTTAGATCTCTTAGTAGCCATTAAAACAGACTATTTGATGCTGATTAAAATTACCTGTAAATAACCTGTTGACAGCAGGAAATGAGACAGCCATGTATTTGAATGGTATATCATGAGTGCAAGCCATGCAGGCCTTGTCTATATTTAAATGACACTCCCAATTTACGTGGACTTGCTTGCCCACCTGTCTGACCTTCTCCCATCTTACCTTGATACAATATGGTAGATCAATCAGACATCGTACATAACAAACAGTTCCACGGGATGGCAAGCTGTAGCACTCTGCACATATTTGTCAAGGCCTTTCTCTAGGGTACGTTGATCTAAACCCACATTAATGTCGGCTTCTGTTAAACCGGTCTGGGTCCAACTTGCATGGAGAATATGTAGGCCAAACACAGCTGTGTGTATGCTACAATTGATGTACAGGAGCTCGACAGTCAGCCAAGCATGTCATATATTATGCATTCACCTGTGAAATCCACAACAGTGTCATGCATTGATATTCAGTGTGAGGAGCAGTGCCCAATGTCATGGAGTGCTCAGTGTCCTGTGAATGCTGCTGCTACAATGAGAGGATTTGGGGTTTTGTGTTTGTCAAACTTGTGGATCAGTCAATCTTGTTCAATCAGTTACCTGCTGTCAACAGTGAAGAATGAAGATGTGTCAGGATTTCATTCTCATTGTGTCTGATTTGAAATCAAACAAAAGCCAATGTTTTTTAAAGACCTGTGGACTCAATGATCATATTTATATACTTATAGTGGTTTTGATTTGAGATGCAATATTTTGAATTACATAATTTTTGTGATTTGAAGTGTTAGAATATGAACAGAATTATTATAAATAGAATTATTTTTTGATGACTGTGTATTGTGATAGTCATTAGAGTTCCCATAGCTACACCACAAGGTACTATTGTATATAGTGAGTATAGCAGTGAATATGTTTTGCTGCAGCTGTCAGCAGTATTCAAGTTATGTCATGCAGACCTGTATATGATAAACCTAGACCAGGAAACCAGTGACTGACAGCTTTAGCAAATATCTGCACCATCAGGGCATGGTGACACATGCAAGTGTTCGGACTTGACCACCAAAATCTCCTTCATCTACTGTTACAAGTGTGGGAGACTGGGAACCACCTCTTCCCAAAGTCCCCATTTTGTCTCCCTCAAACCCTGTAGTGTATATATCATGGAGAAGGATGTAAACATGACAAGCAGTGACATAGTATCAATCCTGGATGTCGACATCTCACAGGTGCCTGCAGGCAGTCAAACAAACTTTAAAACACTTTCTCAAGTTTGCAATAAAAATGACTAATAGACAGATTCATCTAAGAAAAATTGAGAGCACTTCCTGTTTAAAGACATAACCAAATGAAGTTGAGCAGTATGAGAATGAATGCAATCCCTAATTGATATTAATGCTGCAAACCTATATTGGTTGTTTCAAGAAATGCAGAATATCTGCAAGAGAGTCCATTCATCATGATTATTACCAGTTTGTGGTCAGCTTAATCCAATCTCTTTTTAATCAGTTAAACGTGTTGCAAGTATCTTTAAGCATTTCTTTTGGGAAAGAAAGTTCAAAAGATATTTACACAGTAATCCCTTTGTATTGTCTTCATTATCAATTGTACATGATTTTATCACTGGTCATAAAGCAATCTTATCCCTTCACTGAAAAATCTTGTAAAACCTGAGATATTACATTTATTTGCTCTAAGTGAACTACATATTTTACAGGTTTAATACACCTGCACAGATTATGCAAAAAGGCAGTTAAAAATGCCTGAAAGTGTACATGACATGTGGCATTTAAAGTGCATACTCACTCAAATATCCGCCCACATATATTCCTCTATCTATCAGCACACAAGAGTCCCCAGGATATGTTTTCCTTCTCTACGGCTTTCGAGATTGTCTGTGTACATAGCATAATGTAAGTGGACAGGTGAGTCACATTACAGGTATACAAAGTACAATGTACACATTATACTTGCATGTAACTGCAGAACGCTGTGTGTAGACTTTCACCATCCATGATTTATTTGGTCACTCCTAAAACACAAGCCCAAGACGTGTCCTACCTTACTATAATTTCCTTCCAACTCCTACTTCAAGGTTAAGTAAGGTCACATAGGCTCACATTTATATGTAAGCATTATAACAGTCTTAAAACAAAATTCTGGTATTGTTTTTTGTCCATCAGATACTTGACTTACTGTGAAAATATTATCTGATCATCAACCGCTTTCTGTGTCATTTCAATGTGGCAAATGCAGATTTCATGTCTGCATTTTTTAATGCACTGTCAGCCTGTCATCATGTCTATACAAGGTATGGTATGCTTTGTTTATTAGGTTAAATGCATGTCAGTGTTTAGCATTGTGTTGACAAGGACAGAGGTAGGCATTGATCTTGTTGCATACCAAGCACTTATTTTGGTCAATGTTTGAGATTATACAGTTTTGTCCTGGTTCAATTCTCCATCTATGAAGCATATATCTGATGTTCCCGTTCATGATATTGAGTAAAGACAAACTCATTCTCCATATAATTTTGTTATACTGAAATAACATCTAAATATATTGGGTTAAATAGCACTTGAACAATCCATTTTGCAGGAAATTATTATTTGAACATTACATATTTGTTTTAAACATAACAGAATGAGTGCATAAAGCTTTAAACACTATTTACAGTTATATCACTGCTTAATGTTGGAAAAAGACCCATTTACACATGCAAGAGATATTTGACACTGATTAAACCAAAGAACACTGGCACATTGCCCAAACTAGGGTTTTAGTTAATTTATCAAATCATAACCAAGTCTAGCAGAGCCTGGCATGGTTAGGGGACATAACTCCACTTGACAAATTTCTGTGCTTTAAGTCACATGCTCCAACTGACATTAGGGGAAAGTAAATATTCTGAATGTTTTATCAGCTACTTTACTGTAATTCACTGACATGGGAAGATAAATAAGAAAATCTGGTTTATATGAGATTGTACCGCCCTCATACAATAATAGTCCTCAGTTGGACCATCTGAAGTGAAATACTGTTAGTTTCCGGGAACAAGTGCTGTTAAATAAGGGTGTGTGGTGTTCCCTGGTAACGTGTGAACTCTAACCGCATACACATAGCAGTGTGACTACTACCACCCCCAGTATGGACACTCCTCCAACGGATTACCTCCTAGGGAAGGTGTCACTCACAGTCACCATTGATCTCAAGTAAATATTTTGGACATGGCCCAAACAACCTAATATATTGTATGGATTTATTTGTGACCAGTATATGTCAAGATGATACAAGAACATTGTTTCAGGATCGACAGGCTCATAGTTACCTTGTTTCTAGAAACAAATCTAATGACAAGGACTGGGACCGGGACTGAAATAGACATGCTTTCACTCAAACAGTTTATTTTCTTTTTCCTTTTTGTGAGGTGAGGTGAAATTTGGGTTTAACATCACGTTCAAGATAGTTTCATGTTAATATATGTGTGGCTGCTCGTACTAGTCAGGACTTATGTCAGTTTTATAGTGCAATCTTTAAGATAGCATGTCACAGTTTAACATGAATACCCACTCTGATACGTTATGATAGGTATTCTAATAAAACAAGAAAAAAATGGAAATGCTTATGGCTCATAAAATTGTTATGGCTATGTGGTTTGCTTGAAGGGATATCCTTTTCACAACTGATCAAGTAAACTATGTCACAATGATTAAACTTGAATCTCACTATATTTGTGTTTTTTATATTTAGATGAGGTAAAGTTGAATGAAACTGAAGGAGAGGTTTATTTGACATTTTCTGAATACAATATGCGGCGTGTGAGCAGTTCAGTACACATGATAAGTTGTTTATTACCCATGTTGTGACCTCAATACTTGTATGGTTATTATTTATTTATATGAGCTGTTGACCAGTGATCAATAGTCCTTTGATGTGCAATGTCCCATGTCCATAAATAGCCACATTGCGGATGCTGTTGGATGTTCTAGGCACAGGAAACACCTTGAAACAGGAGCAGTGCAAATATTGTTTCCTTGTACATATATGTTATTATGCTTACAGAATGGAATTGCATTCATTGAGTTAAATAAAACAAATATTGTCTTATATTAGCCTCAGGATACTTCTAACTTTCTTATGAGCTTGACAGTGTGACATGAGGTCAACTATCTACCTATGACACCTATCTGTATTAATTATTAAAACACATGTATATTATTTATGTTTAACTCCCCCAAAATCAATAAAAGGGATAAATCCTTTTTACACATTGTTTAAACAAAATGTTTATCTGTGTAGATACAAACCTTATCCTGCCGGCAATATCTCTATCAGTGATAGTTATCTGTGAAGCCACACGCCACTTAACATTACAAGAGTCATTCATCATATCTCCTTCAAGTGTTGTGTATTACAGTGAAAACTTGGTAAATTGTTTTATTAAATACTACAGTAAATGATCACCACTTTTGTTATTTACAAATGCAATATTTATTGTACCTTTTATTATAAGGTGTAATCAATGTAATTAAAGGGATCGAAATAGTGCGTAATTTGCATACCGTGGCATGGTAAATACTGAAAGCATAGAAGAAATAATTTCATTGTGCCATGGCGACATGACTAAAATTATGAAAACAATACATACAATGATTCATTTGATGGAAAGTGTAATGAATTTGAACAACTGCAATGATTCAAAACCTATTTTTGCACCCCATCAAACTGTTTATCGATGGCACTCTCAATCTCAGCGTTTAACATGGGTTTGGCCATTTTGAAATCCAGTGTGTATTAAAAGGAAATTCTGCTGTGGACGATAACATAGTCTGTGGGTTAGCTTATGGGTCCAGGGCAAATGAATCTGAACTATTCTTGCAGTCTTGATAGTGTTTATGAAATCCAGCTCTCAAGTTTACAAGTTTATATGGTGTTTCCTGATTTATTAAACAATAAATTTAAATGACACAATTGTTGTGATGTTTTTATTTGATTGGATCATTAAAAGGCATGGGCACACTTATTTTCACACCTGAAATATCTGTCTGGTGCCCTAGGGAACCCTTAAAGAACAAATAAACTTTGTTTATTTGTACTCTTTTAACTACTACATCTGAAAGATTTGTGTTTAGTCTGATGGGGAACACCAAATTCATTCTTAAAAAACTTGTGGTTAATTAATACCGAGCGATTAAAAGTTGCCAAAAAGTCGCCTGCTTCACTCTTGTCCGCCAACAAAACCACAGACAGGTTACATAACTCTGTCGCCAGAGCACTGCAGTGACGTCATATGAGGAAGGATTTTCGGTTAGTTGTATAGAAAGTGTGTAGCAAGCTCATCAGTTTGATGATTTCTCAACATCAA